ACTTGTTTTAGGCAGAGTAACCATAACTGGGAACAAAAACAGGGACGGATGTGGAGCCAGAATACAATGATCCCCAGGCACTGATGTTACAGAAAACAATAAAGGAAACACTGGACTTCCAGAGGAAACCCAGAGAAGAAGAACAATGTCACAGTACATGCGCATGAAGCACCTGTGATGAGATAACATTTCAGCTGAATGAACATCAGCGTGTGTTCAAACAAGTCACTCTTCACTTCTTCTTCTTGAGATTTAACAGTACATGAAGAAGCAGTGCGTGCCCCAAGGGTTTTTTTTTTATCCTCAGTCTCTTGAGTGAAGCAGGCCGGTGCAGTCAGTTTACGTATTTGAGAAAAAACTTTACAAGATCAACACAGCAGATGTGAGGAGAGAGTCTCCGCACTGAAATATAATCAGTGGATAGTGTTTCTCAGCAGCAGCAGGGATCCAACAGAGCAGGAAAATACAGATTCAGGTATTATAGTCAAGGTTACACTGATGAACATTTGGATCTGTAAACTGACATGCAACCCAATAAATGGTAAACTCTTCTTCAGCATGCAGTCAGCGTTGGTACTTATTGCTGCGCAAGGAAACATCCAGTGAGCTCCTTAACATATTTACATTTACAGAGATTGCACTTTAAAAGAAGGCCTTCAGACAGTGTATACAGCGGTTAGGACCATTATAATGATCCTTCTGCTGTTTCAAGTGTCCACTTTAGGGACCTAAGACCCATATTTCACCTTCTTCATCCTCTTGTTATTGAAAAAAGCACATAATCTGGATTGAGAATCATTTAAATAGTTTAGTCCGAGTGAGTTAAATTTTGTCACTCTCATGAAGGCTGTACCCATCTGCGACTGTGTTTACGTGCACTAGTATCCCAAGTTATAACTGGGTTTTTGGAGTATCTGGTTATGTGTTGCATCTTATCCAGGAAGAATTATACTTAAAATAAATGCTCTAAGGAGTTAATTTAAGAGTCAAAAAGCCTATTATTATTTGGATTTTTAGGAAAGGTACTTTGTTTTAAGTAAAACGTTTAATATCTCCAGTAGAAATTAACAAGAATGTATGTATTCATGATATATATAAAAAAAACAAAAAAAAAACAGGGAAGGAAAAAGTAGGAAATGAAAAGGTTCTTGTGGCATAACATCAAATTTGTGTTTCAACATTATCAGCTTACAAGAAAACAGCAGCTGCAGTGTGTAACTGATTACTCTGAAAAATGCTTTTACTTCAGTTGAGTATTGTTTAACATGACCAATAATATACTGTAGAGGAATGCTAAAAACTGTCTCACATCTGGAGATCTCCTACATTAAAGAGCATTTTAGGTCAATAAAAACGTGACAAAAACCTTTTAGTCTAAAACTAAAGGCTTTTTACTTCTTATCTAAATTGACTTGAATTCCAGTTTAATAACAGGCCCAGGTTTCTGATCATTGTGTGATGTGTGCAGGTGCGTACTCAACTCTAGTTGGTCAGTAAAATTAAAAAAAAATAATGATAATGAGGCTCTGCACACTGAGGTTAATTCCGGGCACTGGCAAAGCAGAAGATAAACTACACTGTCACTTATTTTCCATTACTGCGATCAGATATAGAAGCCCGATCCAGCAGATTGGAGAGTGCGGCCAGATTTAACTGGCATGAGGTAACTATCGAGCAGGATGTGGAGGAGTCAACAAACAACCACCACCAACGCGATGATCAGAAACCTAGATAACACTCGACTGTTCTTATCCCTGCTGACAAGAAACAGGTTATGTTCCATGTAAACATCGTAACCTGAATATGATCCAAACCACGATAACACTCAAAACCGAATTACTAGTGCGCATGTACACTGAGGTCAAGTTTTCTGGATTTACTTTGTAGCAATTTCAGCAACTTAAAGTTCACACTGAACATCTCTGCAAAAGTTCACTGACAACATAAAGTATTGTTTTCCCTACAATGTCCACTCGTAGAGACTAAAACATTTTTATGGGTATGTTTAGGCACTCGCAGAACATGGTTAAGGTTAGGGAAGGATTGTGTTCTTGGTTTAATATTGAAAAAATTGTCAGGGAGATTCTGGACAAAAAGCCCCTCAGACTCATGACCTCAGTCTTCCTAAAATTCTCAAACATTTATGCACTTTTTCCAAATTGGATATATAACCTACATGTGAAAACAAGGAATACATTTCTAAATAAACTACAAAAACATCCTCCATCATCTTATATACAATAATACTTCTATACTTTGTATTTACAGACCACATACTGTGCAAACATTGTGCATTTCTGAAATCCACTTTCAGCCAAATAATGCCATTAGCCTAGTTTGTCTGTGCAGTCAAGTATTCTAAACCTTTGTGCCCAAATTCCTATAAATATACTAATAATCTCTATAAATCCAAATTCAAAAACTAATCGCTAGAGTGGCAGAACAATTCAGTTTCAGGGTAAATATTTGATATTCAGTGCAAATATTAATTTCCAACCTTTTGAAATTAAAAACAAATGAACCAACCACTTTTATCTCACACAGAAACAAACAAAAAACTGAAGGCAGCTGACATCTGGCATCACACACTGATGTATGACATTTTCAGTCTCAACACTAAAAGGGATTCAGCACTTTAGTCTGCGTGAACCCGATCACAAACTGCACACACAGAACTGTCAACATGTCTCTTGGTGTTTTTGAAGGCACTCAGATCCTCTAAGGCCTTTCTTTTTCCTCTGTAATCAACACCTTCTCATCAGAATACCCTCCCTCATAAACTCCCTGAAGCAGACAGCTCACATTAAGATCAACGTGTCTCATCGTTTAGATGGCTGCAGGTCTGAAACGCCGTCACTGTCGGCTCGTTACCGAGACACTTCACCGTCCTGACAGAGAAGCCCAGACAAACCCATGGACGGATTGAGGTGCAAAAAACTTTAATTCTCTGCAGAGACGTGATGAAGGATGGAAACAGGGAGCAGGAGCAAAGTGTGAAAACATTTAACTGTCTCATTCGGTGTAAGGGGCAGGGTGTCTGCAGCTTTCACCAAGTTCAGGTCTACATATTTAGCCCTGTTGGCTGTTTAAAATTTTTCCACAAAATTCTATGTGACTAAGCTAAATTGTTGATTAAAACGACTCATTTTCAAGGTTATTTTTAGTTTTCTTTTTAAGGCTGTTCTAAGAAATGTATCAACATTGGTGACGGTAAAATGGCTGTGAGATTAAATTTTAACATTTAACATCTAGTTTGTGAATCCAGCTCTTTCTGGACAAAGTACTCAAGAAATAGTTTGGATTTTACTCTTAATTTCACTTTGTGAGTGAAATGACCATATCAGAAGTCCATATGGATATGCAAATCTACTGTTCACAGATCGTGACTTAAAAAAAAAAAACATCAGCCATATCCTGGACACCACATCTGTGGATCATTCATGTGGGAATTTCTTTTGCACCATAAACACAAACTCGCTTTTAAAGGCGTAATGATAAACAGATATTAGAGGTCAGAGGAGTCGGCTTTCTACTTGACCAATAAGATAGTTGTGCTGTAATGTTTACATAAATCTTAGCGCAGCCTTAAAGATTATATTTAAGATCTTGATATTATTATACAAAACTCGGGGTTGAATAAAAAATTCTCTAACCTGAAAATATTTCTTCAATATTAACAAGCAAAATAATCTGTAAACATTTCAGCATTCACAGAATCTTTCATGGATTTTTAGATAGCCATGAAATCACATTTGTTTTCAGCTTGATAGCATGATAGATAAAACTACACTTGGAAACTGGGAAGAGATTTAAGTCCTCAAGATCAGTGCACATAACGGTTAAAAAAAAAAAAAAACAGATCTTTTATGTCTTTTACGCATTTGTGTATCCTGCTTTTTCTGTCAAAATAACCACATACACACTGATGTTAAAACTGTCACTGGAAAAATATGTCTGGTTGCATTCCAGTGGCCGAGGCGGGTGGCTCTGTGGGGAGTGGCAGCGAGTGTGGGGAGGGGTTAGGAATCAGGAATGAGGGTTTGGGACGAGAAAGTGGGGAAAAAATGGCTGCAAGGATGAAAACACCTAAAATGGCAGTGTGGAAGTGATGAGGAGGGATCGAAAAACAGGAAAGAAACAAAGTCAACAAAAAAGGATCATCCATCATTTATTCAACACTTATGATTCATCTTGTAAATGTTGTTTTGTTACATGAACACTTGATTTGTGTGTTTAAAAAAAGAAAACTGATGCTTTTCGTACAATTGAGATTTCGGTTAAACTAAAATCAAACCCAGTACCGGTCACTTTTTGAAGAACATTTCTGCATTTTGATGAAAAAAACTTTGGAAATTACTAATACTAAATACTAAATAGTAATATAATAAATAACTTGACCATATCTCAAATTGAAACCTCCAGTAGTTTATATTT